GTGGTTTTGGACCACTGACTTTGTGGTTAGTAGCCCATTTCATAACCTACTAGACTACCAAGGCTCCTTTGGTTTGGTTTAGCTGTGAACATCACTTTGCCTCTCTGAGCCTGCTTCTTCCCAGTAAATAGGGTTGAGAGTGCCTCCTTCACAGGGCTAGTTTGTGGATTAAATGAGCCAAGGATCTGAAGGGGAAGTTTCAAAGCGGCTATTTCCAGGGGCAGGCAAAGACTCGTGCCCACAATGCCCCATCTTTTCTTCCTAGGGACCAAAGGCTCTTAACTCGTTTCAAGCTTACCTCCTCCACTGGGATGAAGGCGCTGGGCCCCCGAGGGCCTCGCTGCGAGCGGCTCTCCCTGGGCTCCTGGGAAGAGATGCAGCACGGTTAGTCGGTGTAGAGGGAAGACTACGGGGACAGTGAACTCTCCAACCTCCCCTCCTCACGCGAGGGGCCACAGAGCTGTACAGCCATGTCTCTGCAACACCCAGGAGGGAGGGGCCAGTGGGGAGACGGGGCAGAGAGAGACTGCGAAAGGGGGCTAGTTTCACGAGGAGCTGGCCAGGAACCCAGGAGCTCCGGCACTGCTGGGCCGGAAGGGTCTGGGACGCCACCAGGCTGCACATCTCTCGGGGGCCGCCATTTTGGCAGCCCCAAAGAGCCCACACAAGGTACAACCGCTCCCAGTGAGGACAAATGTCTCCAGGCAGCTGCAACCACTCTTACCTGGGTGTCTTTTCTTCCCTCCTTTCGCCTCACAGATTACCATCGGCCCTTGTTGGGACCCCCACCTCAGCCCCACGAAATGGGCTCCGGCCTCCATCACCTGCCCTCTCCTATCCACCCTCTTCCCAGCAGTCAAAGCACCCTTTCTAAAGCACACATCTATCAGCTGGCTTCAGACCCTGCCTCCACCTCTCCCACTCTTCAGGGCCTGGGGATCTTTCCCTGGCCCTCAGGAGGCCCCTCTTCTGTGATCCCGCAATTTTCAGTGTTTTCCTTCACGGGAACACTCTCAGCTAAGTGCCTGTTCTGAGTCTCCTTCCTACCAGACGCCATGTTGTGGAGAGCAGGGGGAGTCTGTCAGATTGGTCTGCGAATGAAGAACACAAAGCAGCGAGTGGAGGGAAGCAGCAGGGTGTCTGCGCAGCACTCGGACCCCAGAGAGGGCCTGTTCCCATCGGCATGCTTTTGAGCCTCTCTGGGCATCCCAGGATAGGAGTCCTGGTGGCACAGAGGTTTAGGTACTAGCCTGCTACCTGCAAGGTCAGCAGTTCAAACCCACAAGCTGCTCCCTGGAAGAGAAGGCTTTCTGCTCACAGAGATTTACAGACCTGGAAACCCACAGGGGCAGTTCTACTCCAGCTCATAGGGTTCCATCAGTCCGAACTGACTCGATGGTAACAAGTTTGAGAACATCCCACTGAATTAACCCCCTAGTCCTAGAACGGGATTCAAGGTATAGATTTATCCCATCCCCATCCCCCCCCCTACACCCCTGCCCCCGCCCCCAATTAATTTGTCTTGTTCATTGGGACAGGAAGGGGCAGGGGAAAGGTGCTCTCAGCCCTGATCTTGGAAATACGTTAGCCATCCAGAAGCCTGCCCCTCATGGGACAGGGACAGTCCCCTCCCCTCGTTAAAACTCAGAATTGGGAGAGGAACCTAGAGGCTCTGTGTGACAAACCAGGTGTATGGGCTGGCTGCTCAGGTCTCCCTCAGTCCACACTGCAGGGGCCTGCCAGTCCGAGCTGGCCCAGGCCCAGCATAGTAACCACCCCAATCCCCAAGCATTCCTTTTGCGGCAAGCCTCCTCCCTCTAAGGGAAAAAGCCCGGCAGCTCAGTCTGGGAGATAAGGATTGCTGACTCCACTAGCTGGGCCTCCCTCCCCCTCAGGGAAGTTAAGGACACATGGAAACCAGGGGGTGGGCCCCCCCCCCACCCCGACGGGCCCCAGGAGGGCCCCACCCCAACCCCCACCTAGGCAGGAAGAAGCCCTGGTACCCCTTCTCACTGCAGAATCTTCCCCGGAGCTGCCAACTGGAGGAGCTGGTATCTGTTGTTCTAAAAGTGAAGGGTCTGGCTCTACCAACAATTTTAGCCCTAATCACTACACCAGCTATTATCATCATCATTACCATAAAGTGCAGATAGAAGATACAGGCTCTGGACACAACTGCCTGAGCTCAAATTACAATTCTACCACCTGATACCTGCTAGCTATGTGAACTTATTTCCTTACCAAATAATGAGGATAATAGTACCTCTTCTTACCGAGTAGTCATGAAACTTAATGAGATGATGCTTAGTACCTGGATCCCAGGAAGTACTTAATAAAAGTCAGCAACCATTAGCCTCCTTGCAATTTCAAAGAAGGGCTTCTAAACCCAAATCCTATAAAGTTAGTAGTCCCTTTATTCATGGGGGACGTGTTATAAGACTCCCAAGGGATGCCTAAAACTGTGGATAGTATACTGAACCCTGTATATACTATGTTTTTCCCTATGCATTATAGGGCAGTACCCAGAATGCTGCCAGGGTGTGGTGTGCCCACTCACCCAAATGTGCCCAGCAGAGGAGAAAGCCTAGAGGGGGCAAGATAGGGAGAAATTTCACTGTGCTACTAAGAAGGGCATGAGATTTAAATATTTTTGGACTATGGTTGATGGCAGGTAACTGAACCCCCAAAGAGCAAAACCACAGATAAGGTGTGTGTGTGGGGGGCTACTGTATTAGAATCCCTGGGAGAAGTTCTCCTCCCCAAAATGCTGATAGCCAGGCCCCGCCCCTATAAGGCAGGGTAGAACTGCCCCCCTTGTGGGTTGCTGAAGCTGCAAAACTTTACAGGAGCAGACTGCCTCCTTTTTCTCCAGAGGAGTCAGTGGTGGAGTTGAACTGTTGACCTTGCAGTTAGCAGTCCAACGTATACAAGTTCTATAAAGCTAATGAAATACAGCGATGAGGCAGTGCTTTGGTGCCGTGGTGTGTTTGAGCTTGAGTTGACAGGGAAAACCCCTTTGGGCGTGATTTTTGAGCTGATACCTAAATGATGAGAAAACAGCAAAGCCAGGCTTGTAAAGTTAAGCTTTGGGGCCATGGGGAGAGAGCAGGGTCAGCATTCCAAGCAGTTGTACCAGACAGTGTGATTATAATCCATGGCTCTAAAATTCTGGATGATTCTCTAACCTTGACACCAGACTCCAGGGGAAACTGACACCTCTTCTCCCAGCCTGGAGCGTCATCAGTTTCTGCCTAGTCACTTCTGACTCATGGGATCCTACGTGGCAGCGGAGGTGAAGTGCTCCCTCCGCAGGGTTTTCAAAATTGTAACCTTTCAGAAGCAGACCATAGGCTCGTTTTTCTAAGGAGCCTCTGGGTGGGTTTGAACCGCCAGCCTTTCAGCGAGTGGTCAAGCGCTTAACCTTTTCTACCACCCAGAGACCCTGTTCCTGGGATAGAGGGTCCATGAGGACAAGCAACCACACCAACGACTGTTGCCAAAGCATCGGGTTCTCTCTCAATCACCGCCCACACTGTCAAGGAAGGAGCTAGTACCAAACTAGTTAACCAGATATTGTCAAGCCAATTCCAACTCCCGGTCAGCCCCTTCAATGCTGAGCAGAAGTGCCGTCTACAGATTTTCAGAGCTCGTCAGTTTTCAGGCCCAGACCCCCAGGCCTTTTATGCCAAGTGTCTTTCTGAGGGCTCAAACTGCCATCCTCTTGGGTAGCAGCGTGCGTGAATCACCAGCTGTGTCATGCACAGACTCCTAGGAAGGACCACCGCCCTCATGTACAGATGAGGAATAAGTAATGCTCTGAGATGACAAGTGAAGTCACTCACACCACTCCAGCTGGGAATCAGTGAACAGCCGGATTCGGATTCTTAGTCTCGGAACTCTCGAGGTCTCAACAGCCCCCAGCTTTCACACCTGGGCTTCCCCAGAAATGAAAGGCCCTGGCCTCTGTCCACGAGCCCAGGGTTCCACTGGCCAGAAACGCAGCACCTTGTGCCACACTATGCTGTTTCTCAACTTGAGGACACATACCGAATTTAGGTTCCTCTGGTTACCCCAGTGTCACACACACGGTCACTAGAACTTTCTGTGGTGAAACAATGGTTGGTCTCTATACTGACCAATAAACATGGTCACTTTTAACCACCGTGGCTAAGCATTTGAAATGCAACTAAAGAACTTCATTTGTATCTGTATCTGAAGAGCCACATTGGCTAGGGGCTACATACTGGACGGTGCAGGCTCACGACATCAGATAAAGGCGTGATCCCCACCTCTACTTTACAGAGGAAGAAAATGAAACCCTGAGGGGGCCAGGTGCAGTGGCCATGCGAGTGCAGCGAGTGTGGAGCAAGTTGTAAAAAGAGGACAATCACCGAAGCCCAGTGCCTGACTCCTAACGTAGGCTCACACTGACCTTTTAGATCAGCCTGGGCGCTGTGCACGGGTTCCACTCAATCGGCACAGCAGCTTTTTCAGAGGGGAGACCTCGGTGCTCACAAGTAAGGATTACGGTTCCAAAGGTTAAGCACCAACTGAGAAGTGGCCAAGCAGCCCTGGTGTAGAACGATCTGATCGTCAGCTTCCCTAAAGATGTACTGCCTTGAGAACCCTTCGCGGGCTCTACTGTACCCTAAAGGATGACTATGAGTTGGAATCAGCCCGACAGCAACGGGGTAGGTCATGGGTTTCTTGTGTGTATGTGAGAAGTGGCCGATGTGTGATTTGACCCCAGTTCTGTCTCGTAACCAAGGTCCTTTCTACTCCTCGTGGAGTGGGCCCAGGCCTGAAGACAGACTCTAGCTCCGTGTGGCTTCCCACGGTTCTGTACAGCCCTGGCCTGTGACTCCCAGCAGGACTGAGGGACAGGCACCTGCTAAACCACTCTGCTGGCCCCATTATGCTCACAGGCTGTTCTGGTCATCTGAATGGATCTCGCCTGGGTTTACACCTGAGAGGAAGATACAGCCAAGCAACTGACCTATGATCCAGATAGATCAGGATGGAAGGGTGGGGGCAGGGCACCATACACCTATATGCCCACCAAGTACTGGGCACTAAGCTAAGTGTTTACACATGTGATCTTGCTGACTCTCCACAAGCACCCTGGGTAATTGTTCATGTTACCCTTTCTTTAGAAACAGGTCGCTATGCCTCAGAAAGGTGCTATTCTCAAAAGGTACAAGCTCAGATCTGACTTCAAAGCCTGCATAGTTCACAAGGGTCAGCTAAGCCATTATGGGGAAAATAGCTATGAGCACTTATTAGGCTAAGAGCAGTGCTGGGCTGGGGATGAGACCTGCACGGTGAGGTTTCTGCCTCCGGGTGTTTCTAGCCCAGCGAGGGAGATGACAAGAAATGCTTAATTATACAAATGTGTGACTACAACTGGGATAAAGGCTCCCAGGCAGGTGCAAGGGGGTATGAAGTGGATATACAAAGGGACCTTATCTGATGGAGAGCAAAGTGAAGTTGGAGGCAGGGCTCTGAAATGATTCAAGCATCTTCGGCCAGGGTTGGAGAACAGAAACCTGAACAGGCCTAAGTTTTTAAAATTTGGGTGGTGTAGAACATTCATCGGAGGAGGAAAATTTATGGATCCAAGCCCTGGAATGGGCAACTCAGAAGAGCCTTAATGAGACCTTTCAGGAGCCCAATGCAGGAGACTGGCTCATTGCCAAGACTGGGGAGAGCAGATACACATTCAAAGCTGCAGTCAGCCACCGTCTCTGAGCTGGACACCCGTTGTTTTTGACTCGTCTGGTCAAGAGATGTGGTTGCTTTGCAACACACAACCCACGCGCACAGAGATTAAGTTTCGGACAGGACTTCAACCCATAACTTTTCCCCTTCTGCTTGGTGTTTGGTGGTCCACCCACATTTACCATCCTCAGGGCCATTCCAGTGTCACTGGCTTGGCCATGGCTAAACTGAGCTGAATTTGTTTCAAAGCTCGGGTTTGAGGAAGTCATTCCATAGCCCCCAAAGGGTCTGAAATATACGACCTACCAGCACTCAAGTGAAGCCCTTGGAACTTACTGGAGCGTCACACATCTAAAGGCCTCTACTCCCTGAAAAAGTATGTGGTGAAGTCATGAGGAGTTGAGGGGCTTCGTACCTGAGTCTCCAATAAGACCTTGGGCACCAGGCTCTATGAGATCAACAGCACTCTGCCTCCTTCTAAGGACCCTTGTTTAAGTCATACCTCCTTCCCATGGTCCATTTCTTCTCACAGAGGCCACAAGCTTGCCCCTACTGCTGGCAAGGGCTTTCCCTCGCAAGGCTACTGCCTCATAGCCTGCCCTCATCACCTGAGGCACTCCCTACTCCACTGTCCCAGAGAGGGCCAGCAGGGTCCACTCAGGCACCCCTTTGTGAGATATTGAGGCAAAGGACATTTGTGTCATGGTCACATTCTCATAAGTTAGTACGTTTAATGTCGTCACCATGTTCCGGGCACTGTGCTTTGATCTCCCTTTAGATTCTCAGCAAATTCTCCTATTGTGCCCCCATGCTAAGACAGTGATGACTTGACCCAAGTCACATGGTGAGGGAGTGGGAGCACTGGAACCTGTTCCCTCTGGGTCCAGTGCCCAGGTGCTCTCAGTGATAACATGATTTCCATCCTTTCACAAAGAAAGAAACAGAGTCGAGACTACAGTGACTTGGTCAGAACCAAAGAGCTGAGGAGGAACAAGAGTAGGGGTCATTCTTTCCCAAGGAAATCCTGAACCATGGTCCAAACACAGAAAACGGCCCCACTGCGGGGGAGTCCATTCTGAGCCATAGCGACCGAGAGGACAGAGAACTGCTCCATCAGGTTTCCAAGACTGTAATCTTGACAGAGAATTCATAGTCATCCAGTGTTGAGCGTTCAACTGCTGACACAAGAAAACTCAGCAATTCTATCCCACCACCCACTCCACCAGATTCCAAACCCAACCCACTGCTTTTAAGTCAAGGCAGCGCAGAACTGCCCTACATCCGCAGCTGAGCTCTTAGCCAGCCCAAACCAAAAGACCAAGCTCACTGACGTCAAGTCCATTCTGACCCATAGTGCCCCTCTAGGACCAAACAGAACTGCTCGTAGCTTTCCAAGAAAGAGTGCGACCGTTTACAGGAGTAGAAAGCCTTATCTTTCTCCCTTGGAGGGGCCCGTGGTTTCAAATGGCTGACTTTGCAGTTAGCAGCCCAATGAGTAATCCACTATGTGTGTCACCAGGGCTCCTACTGCACCACCAGGGTTCCTTAAATCACAGTAGGGGACGGCTAAACTCAAGCTAACAGAAACCCCGACCCAAATCATCTATGGCTGCAGCATCAACAACAACACACAAACCTATTGTCAAGCCCGTTTCAACTCACGGCAAAGCCCAGGTTGGGTTTCTGAGGCCGAAAATGGGAGCAGATCACCTCATCTTTATCCTGGGAATTGCCTGGCGGGTTTGGAGCGCAGCTCTTGAGGTTAGCAGGCCAATGCTTACCCTACAGCTCCAGAGCCTCAAAAACTATGTGGCCCAGAAAAGGGGGTAGATTTCCACCACCCATCTTAGGCCTAGCATTCCTCTGGTCCCCAGTCCAAGCAACTCACCTGCTCCCTGATTCCCTGGAAACAAAAGAAACAAGCAAAACTCTGAGGTGGCAAGCACCATCTGAAATCCTAGGGGCACCCAAGCCGAAGAACCTCTCCCTGAGCCCTTCCTAGGTCTCCATTTTCTTGTTCTGTAAAATGGGGCTGCAATATTGCTCACACGCTGCTGATTTAGTCCTGAGCACTCAGAGAAAATGCAGGCCGACCATCTAAACCCAACATGGCCAAACGCATGGCGGCTGAGTCCATTTTGACTCCTACGGGCCAATAGGACAAAATAGAACCCACCCCAGTGTTTCCGCTGCTGCAAATCCTTATGCAAGCAGACTGCCACATCTTCTCCTGACTGGTGGACTGGATCCACCGTGCTTTCCGCTAGCAGCTGCCCGCTACAACCCCTGCATCGCTACGGTCGCCTATGCCTGGCATCTGTTGTTAGGCGCTTTTGAGTCGCTTCCGACTCAGAGCAACCCGATGTACTGCATCTAGTCCGTCCTGGCATCTGGTAGGTCCGCTATCGCTAATTGCTAAATTATACCCAACCTTATTACTAGCTTTACTGCAAAGCCCTCAGGGCATTGCCTAAGGGGACACGGAGGATCCCTTCCAAACAAACTTCTGGGCCACCAGCCCACTTAGAGGGGCACAGCCTAAAGTGTCTTAGGTTTCAGGAGCGCAGCCTATTTCCCCACCCCAAGCCCCTCTCCCGCCAGCTTTGACGACGGCCGCGGGCCGGGCAGCTAGCCAAGCCCCCGGGAGCGCCCGTGGCCCCGCCCCCTCTCGCCGCTGACCGCCCCTCCTCCAAATCTGGGGGTGCCGTTGGGGCAGGGGTGGCGGGAAAGGGACCGAGTCGGCCTTCGGGAGCCAGTCCCAGGTGCTCGACTTCGGGCGCTGGGGGATCGGAGCGGGAACGTGTCCTAGAAAGAGTCCTCTGCCCGCCGGCCCCCACCAAGGGAAGGGACTCAGCGGAAGGGGGCGGGGAGGAGGAGTGGTCGGGCCGCTCCGGCCGGGATTTGCCTGGACTTGAAGACGCTCTCGACGAGAGACCGAACGCGAGAGGACCTCGGGAAGGCTCCCTTCTCATTGGCTGGGGGTCCGAGCGAGCCGGGGAGGGCTGCACAGCCCGAGGGAGAGGGGGAAGGGGCGTCGAGGGCCGAGGCTGCCAGTTGATGCAACCCTCGCCCCGGGTTACGCTCTTCACTCCCGTCCCCGAGCCCGGGGGTCGCACTGACTTCTCTCGGGACGGCCCGCCGCTCGGACACGGCCCGGGCTTCCAGGGAAGGGCAGCGTCGCTCGGCCTCCACTTACCTCTCCGACCTCAGCGCCGCCGCCGCTCCGGGCGAACGGCAGGTAGCCCTTGAGCTCGGGGCCACCCTCGGAGCCCGCAACGATCATGGTGTGCCTAGATCGAGCCGCGGCTCGCCAACGACCTGTGCACCAGAGCGGGGGCTTGGACGGACACGAAGGAAGCCAGGACCCGGGGCAGCACGGTAGGTTCTAGAACCTTGACGTGCCTCTCGAGGCTCCAGGACGCTCTGGAAGCCAGGAATCCGAGAACGGCCGCTGCTGCGCTGAACTCTCCGCCAGCCCCGCTTCTGGAACAGCGATTGGCTTCCGGCTACTGCCACTGGTCGCGGCTAGGGGTTTTCTCACGGCCCGGAGCGCCTCGGAAGCCCGCAGTGGCCAGCGCTGCTCGCGAACCCAACGCTCCTCAGCATCCCCGCCGCGGAACTGCCAGCGCTCTCTGGGCTCTGACACCAGCAGCACCGTTCAGCCCGCTGCGGTCCCCGGAGGAGGGCGGGGACACAAAAGCCCCGCGCCCCAGCCAATCAGATGCCTGTTTCCCGGGGAGGCGGGGCCGTCACCTCCCCCTGGAGTCGACTACTCAGCCAATCGGCACAGGGAAATGCCCGGGAACTCTGGGAGCTGTAGTCGGCCGGGACGAATGCTGCAAACTTTTGCAAGCGGGTTTAGTCAGAGCACAGGCAATAGGAGACCAGAGTGACGGGCCGGAGAGTCATTAGTACTGTATGATGAAACGGGACTTCACCGGGCTGGACCTAAGAGCCGGTTGTGAAATCCCCCCCAAAATGCGTCCTTCATTTTTTTTTAGTTCCTGGAGGGGACTGGTTAGGGTTAGGAAGGTTTGGAGGTTTGGCCCACTTCCTCCACGGTTGCTAATTATAGATCTGAACATCAGATCTTTGGATGTCTGAGGGCACAGCCCTGTACCCCCTGGCCAACAGGAGGACTCCTCCTTCAAATGTACCCGGCACTGGGGAAACCACCCTATTTGTGAAGTCTGGAAAAAGCTTTCATTCATCGAAATGTATTGGCAAACCATGTCTAACCGCAAGCCCTGTTGCTGCAGTTTCCTCCATCTGCTCCCTTGGCCCTCAGGCGGCCTGCCACCCCGGCCAGCCATCTTGGAACTCAGTGACTAGGTGTTGTGCTAGTTCTCGTCTCTCCTCTCTCTTTCCCTCTGGCCACTCCTCTGACTTCTCTTTCTCCTCCCACTCCCTGAAACGTGGGTGTTCCCCTAAGTTTCTGTTTGTACCCCTCTCCTTTGCATGCACACTCTCCCTCCCTGTTCTCATCCACTTCCTGGCCTTCGACTCTCCTTTTGCAGGGAAGCCACCCCACCAGTGCCTCAGACCTGCACTCGTTTTGCCCTGCCGGCCTCACAGGTTCGCAAGTTTTGTGTAGTCTCTCTTTTCGTCGCCATTTGAAAGTCATTATTTACTCTGGATGTGGATCCTGGTGGTGGAGGAATGGGCTAGATGACCCCCAAGGTCCTCTCTTTGAATCTAGAATTATGATTCCAAAGATGAGCCTCAGACTTGGTCTCCAGCGTCTAGCTTTTACGGAGAAGGAAAATAATGGCATTTTCCCTTGAGTCCCAAGACACTTGGGCTAGGTCATTATTATGACACTTGCCATTCTCGACTTTGTATTGTAATTTTCTGTGTATATATCTCATCTGATCCTGTTGATTATGAGTTCCTTGAAGGCAGGGTCCACATTTTGACATCTTTGTCTCCTGCCCTATGGCCTCCTAGCACAATGCCCTGCCAATAATAGTCCTTTGGTCATTGACACTTCTTTTGCATTGAATACCCTTCTAAATCTCCTTATGTCAAGATTCGACTTTTATTGAAAAAGTTTACTCTGTAGCGTCAATGTCCAGATCAGAGAGCTTTGGTGGTATTTCATCAGCTACAGAACAAAGGTCAACCCCCTAGGCTCACATTCATGGCTTGCCAAGACTTGCCTCAACTTACCTTTCCAGTCTTACCTGCCATACTCACGTTCCTCATTTGACCTTTAAGTTGTTCTCTCCGTAAATCTCTGCTCATTAAAATCCTACCCAGAATTCAATCCCTTCATTTTGTGTTTGTGGCCTCAGGAAGACTTCCAACTGTCACTTCCTCTGGAAGGTGTTGCTTCCTATAGTTCAGCTGAAAGTAGTTCACCTACTCAACTCCTTTAACACCTTGTTTCTACCTCCTTATACCATTTCAGGACTCCCACAGGAGCTTTGTTACCATGTCTATATGGCTCAGCCCCCTCCCTCCAACTAACAATGGAATATGTCATAGGCCATTTTTACAAAGGGAGGGAGCTCAAAAATGGACTCCACCAGGCTGGGCCAGAGCTCCTTTAAGGTAGAACTGTCTAATTCTCTGTATTCCCCACTAGCATGCAGTGGCGCCTCTGTAAATATTTTGAGGTAATGAGTTTTAATTACTCTCTTCTGTAGAATAAGCCTTCAGAATCTTCAAGGAAGTGACTCAGTCATTCCCATGACTTCACTTACAAAGTTAGTAATGTGGTGAGCGGGAAAAGCAGAGATACTGATGTTCGAAAGTGGATGCTCTTTTGTGACGTGGTCTCCAAGGGAGACTGTACGTGCCAGAGACACCAGCATCAGTCCAGGATAGGCCCCCGTTGTTTCATGTAACGCTCACTACAACTCCCTGAGGTTGGCATTAGGCTCCCATTTGACAGACGATGAAACCAAGGTTCAAAAAGTGTAGTGACTGAGGCCAGATAGCTCTGTAATCAGTTGAGCAAAGGATTTCAAACCCAGGCATGAATGACCCTAAAGTGGAAACACCACTAAGGAGAGGTGGAGCATGTGAGAAGCAGGCTGGCATAAGACACAGATGCTCAGGGCAGAATTCCAATATATCAATTGGGAGCAAGAAGTGTAACTCTGGGGTAGCTTATGCACATCCCTTCTTGTCAAAGAACCTCCATGAAAAGCCAAGTTATTGTCTGAAGGTGACGGGACAGCTGGAATCTGAGCAAAAGGAACCAGAGAAAAGGTGAATCATTGAAATGGTTCCACTCAGGACAAACCTGCTGGTCAGGGCTCTGACTCCTTTCCTCCCTCTCAGGTTCAGTAAGTACTTTGACCATCTAGTCACTAGTGTATTCTAGTGTATGCTGAGCAGGACAGACGCTGAACGTGCTTGGCTGCGATCTAAAAGGTTGCTGGCCTGAGTTCATCTAGAGGCACCTTGGGAGGAAGGCTTGACTGTCCTCTTCCAACAAACCAGCCATGGAAAACCGTATGCGGCCCAGTTCTATGCTGAGGTCTCCATGAGTTGGAAATGACTCAATAGAAACTAGTGAGTGTACACCAGGCACTGTGCTGGGCTCTGGAAATGCAGTAATGGAGCTTTCTGGCCAAGAAGGTGTGGCCTGGTGACACAGGGTAGACACATCCTCCCCTCCCCACCCCCACCGCCTTCTGCCTTTTGTTTTCCCCTCCTCTTTGTCTTGTGTTTTGAGCTCAGTGAAGATCTCCTGTTGTCAGACTCCTGCTCTCTTGCATAAGCCGTGTTGAGGCTGCTGATTGGCCAGACCTTTTTTTGTTCTTCTCTCGCATTCCAGTCCTGAAAACTATCTAGATTTGGCTTGAAATGTTTCTGAGGTGCCAGACCCTCTCTCAGAAGAATGGCCCTGCTGGTGTGCTTTCTTCAAGTCTGTTTTCACATTTCCTCGGTTAATTCTGGGGTCCTGGTACTACACTGCTCTTATAGCTTGGCCATTCCCGGAGCTGGGATTTATCACCCTGGAGGCCATTCTTCATCCTGTTCTTGCTTCTGCCCTCTCCCGCCGTCAGCTCAGAGCACAGTGCTAGTGATCAGGGCAGCTTTCAGGAAAAGCAGCCCAATCCCATCCAGGTGTGATAAAGCCAAAGAAAGACCCACCCTCCTGGTTTATTCACACACACGTTCATTTAATTACTTATTAAGCAAGTCCTGTGCTGGATGCTGAGGGAGAGGCTTCCCCCACCTGGCTGACAGGTCAATTGTCAAGCTTGAAAGCCACCGCTGGAGGCGTCTGGAGTTGCCCTTCGAGGGGGTAGGCTTCGGAGACTCTGGGGGATGAAGCCAACTCTTTCCTGGGTCAAATGGGGCAGAAGGAGTGGCGCCCAGGAATGAGGAAACTCCGGTGCTAGTGTGGAACTGAGGGCGTGCCCCGAGGTCCTCACGGGGGTCGCTCCCGAAAAGGTCAGCCGTTCGAAATCACCAGCCGCTCCTCGGGAGACGACGCGGCTTTGCACTCCCGCGGAGAGGGGCCGTCTCGGAAAGCCACGTTGAGGGTCGCTGTGAGGCCGCTCGGAGGCGAGGGCAGGGGGTTCGGTTCACTCACTTGGAAAATAAAGGAATTGAAACGAGCCCTCCCGAGTCCCAGTGGGCGATGCTGTCTCTTGGCTGAAAATCGAGGACAGAAACTCCCCGCTGGAGGAGCTCCCCGCCGAGCGAGCCCTCAGCGCCCCCTGCAGGTCGGACCCCCGCAGCCCAGCCAGCACCTTCAGCCGCTTGGGAGTTTATAGGGTTGACAGGGGCCTTGTCTCCGCGGGAGGTCCTGGAAAGAGGCCAGGTCACAGCTAAACACAGACGGTGTGGTTACAGAACATTCCCCTGCTGTCAACAAGGACCAACCCACCGCCATTGAGTCGATTCTGACGCATAATGAACCTGTAAGGACAGACTAGAGCAACTCCCCAGCGTGTCAGGGATGGGGAGCAAACAGCAGCATCTTTTTCTCACCAGCAGGGACCAGACTCCCCAAAGACTAGCCTGGGTGCACTTCCGCTCCTCAGGGGTGTAACTTACTCCTTGCTCTTGTAGAATGGAAGGCTGAAGCACTGAGAGGAAAGAATTTGCCCAAGGTCACTAAGCAAGCTGACCAGAGAGATACTAGAACCCAGGGGTCCAGACCCCCAGTCCAGGGCCACATGCACTCTAATAGGCTGTGCCAGCACCCTCACATTTCCAGAAAGAACTCTCTTGGCCCTGGTGCATTCCTGTCTTTCTTCTGCGCCATTCTACTCTTAGAGGCCCTATACATCCCCAGAGAGCCACTCTGCAATGACCCTGGCCTCCATCTTGTTCCATCTTGCCCTAATCCCCAAACACTTTCATTGTACTAAAAAAAAAAAAAAGTCAGGATATCTAAATTGAAGTTTCTAGTCTTAACCCTTACTGTGTGAACCTGGACAAGTTAAATCACTTTTCTGAAGCTTTTCCTCCTGTGCATGAATAGGAGGTAAAATTTACTTCCTAGGGTTCTTACGAGGTTGAGAGCTAATGTATACAAATCCCTTCATAAGACTTGATGTAGAATAAGTATTGTTCTTATTCTAACGCATCTAGCCTAGTGATGCTCATGTCCAAAAAAAAGAAGATGGCTT